TGGAGGAAGCCAGAGGCAGGATTCAAACCTAGTCCTCTAACTCCAGTCCTCTTTCCCTGTGTGGCTGCCCTGGCGTCTCTGGATCAATATACCAAGTTTTTCAAGGCTCCCATCCAAGGCTGATATACTGCTGTCTCCTGTGGCATGAAGGAGGCCTTGAGAAAGGCTCCAGTGGTCACATGAGCCCTGGAGGGGGTGGCTGGGACCGAATCTGATCCTTTCTCTGGAGGTCAGGAAGCTGAGATGGCCAGAGCCGGATACCATGCCTGACCATCATGACGTCTAGCCACCTGCCCTTGGTGCATCAGCTGGCACAGACAGTGTCCTTAGCTTGACCCGTGCTGAGTACTTGAAATACAAAGACAGGCAGAGTGGGGGTGGGGAGGTGGGAAGACAACTGCCCGGCCTTCAGCGGCAGCTCAGAGGCTATGAGTGGCCCAGTCAGACTGGCTTCAAATCCTGCCTGTGCCATTTACTAGCAGGGTGACCAAACAAGTCACTGCATTCCTGAGCCTCTGTTTACTTATCTATAAAGAATCAAATTACAGTACTCACTGGATAGGGTGTTATGAAGATTAAATGAAGTAATACCAGAAATGTGCTTAGGAAAGCCCCAGACTTTAGGCTAGAGCTCAGTAGTTATTGGCTAAGTCCCAAACCCTGCCGAGATGGGGTTCCCTCCCTTCCCCTTGCTCTGTGGTCTAGTGTTCAGCATCAAGAAGAGAAAAAAAAAGGAATGCATATCCCCTCACGTTCGCATGGTATTTATACAACAAAAATTCTGTAGAACTAGAAAGCAATTATAACCAAGTTTTTCTATGCGGTGGGACTATTGGGAGACTTGAACTTTTACATTATATAGCTCTGTTTATTATGCTCATTCTATAATCTGAAAAAAAAAAAAAGACAGTTAAAAACTGTTGTGTGCTACCCTGTGCCAAGCACAGTATCAGGCACTTTTTTTTTTTTAAAGATTTTATTTACCTATTTATTTTAAAGAGGGGGAAGGAGAGAGGAAGAGAGGTACAGAAACGTCAATGTAAGAGAGAAACATTGATTGGCTGCCTCTTTTAAGCACCTCGCCCTGGGAACAAACCCGTAACTCAGGCATGTCCCCTGACCGGGCATCGAACTGGTGACCTTTTGCTTTGCGGGACAACACCCAACCAACTGAGCCACACCGGTCAGGGCAGTAACAGATACTTTTGACGTAGCATCCCTCACCTTTACACTGTCTTTCACCCCTGTTATAGATGAGCAGGTGGAAGCCTAGAGAAGTGAAGTAACCTGACCTAGGACACATAGCTTCTCAATGAAGACATCAGGATCTGACCCCAGTATTAGAATCTGGAGGGTACAAGGCAATTCTGCTTCACAGGTCAGGGAAAGCTTCACAGAGCAGGTGACATTTGAACTGAGCCTAGAAAGCTGAGTAGGACTTCTTCAGGCCTGGGTTTTCAACCAGGGGGGATTTGGACCGTAGGGCATATGTGATGAAAAAATCTGGCGACATTTTTGGTTGTCACAGCTTGGAGAGAGGGATGCCACTGGCATCTAGTGGGTAGAGAGAGGCTGGGCATGCTGCTAAATATACAGTGCACAGGACTGCCTTGCACAAAACAAAGACTTATCTGACCCTAAATGTCAATAGTATAGAGTATGCTGTAATATCCTAGAGCTGTTATTATTTATTGAGTGCTTACTATGTGCCAAGTGCGGTACTAAATTCTTGCAAATGTCCTCTAATTTAATCCAGTCCCACCACTCCATGCCGTCAATGACGAATATGAGGCTGAGATGATAAGTAACTTTTCTAAGGTCACACAGCCAGAAAATGGTAGCACCACGGCTGGAGGAGTCTGAATACACAGCCAGTTCTGTGTACGCAGGATTTGTAATAAATGTAAAAGCTCCAGACCAACTCCTAGGCAGGATGTGAGGGGTCTCCGGCTGAGCCTAGGTGCACTGGCCTTGATGGCTTGGGCAAGGTGCCCCCTTCCCTTCTGCCATTCCCCACCTGCCAAGTGAAGGTTGCACCAGATAATCTCCAAGACCCTGGCAGCTCTAAGTCTGTTATCTTTAGGAGAACGGCCCAATCCCAGGCTCCAGGAGCCTGCAGCTGGGAAGGGAGGGGGCATAATGGGCAGGCTCAGCCTCATTGCTTGTGCATACATAGCTAATGCAGCCCTGCTTCCCCACCAGGAAGGAGATGCAGGTAGAGGCTGGGAGTGGCTTGAGCCTAACCCAGGAGCTTACCTCTCCAGTGGGGAGGCATGTTTCTCTGTCACCTTCTTGCCAAGTCCAAAGCCAGGCACCAAAGCCAGGCACCAAAGCCAGGCCTTCTCAAGCAAGAGAGGCAGGTCTAGGCATTTCCCCAGCTGGGCACATGAATTCTCACAGGTAGAAGGACAAAGAATGGGAGTAGGTGCGGACCCAGACCCTACCATGTGCCAGCTGTCTCTAAAAGCAGGTCCCTCTCAGGTCAGCCTCATGAAAACCCTGGTAGGAAAGAATCATCTCGACCCCACTTTACAGACGGGAGCATCACGGCTTACAGGCAGTGACCCGGCTGAGTTACACAGTGCTGAAGGAAGGTTTGGAAAGCAAGTGTGTCTGATCCCAGGGCAGTAACCACAAGGTAAGTGAGTGGTAGTCCTGCTGGTCTTTTCACCTAAGAATGAAGTATTTCAATAACGTTTGGAGAAAATGTATGTTCAATTTCTCCCGTATTCCCCAAGACACAGAATGGACTACAAAAAACCAAAACATAGTAATCCTGATTTTCTGGTTTGCCGAAAGGGGAACCAGGATTCAGAGAGAAGACAACTTTCCAACTAGAAAGTCACACAGGGAAGGGAGGGGATGAGCAGCTGGGCGGGGGGGCTGGTGGGGGAGGGCCTGGCCCAGGTCAGGCTGAGTTTTCCAGCCCAGATCTCTCATGGTCTGGCATGTGGCTTTGGGTATGTCACATCACCTGTCTGGAGGTCAGCCTGCACATCTATATAATGAAGGGGATGGACAGATGGTTTCACAGAGTCCCTTCAAACTCTTACAACCTGTGCCCAATTCTGTCAAAGGTTCTCTCCTCTTCCGAGTTTCTGTACTTTCACACATGGGGAGATGGGAACACCAGTGCCCAGCACAAGGAAGGCGGAGGGCCAATACTAGCCTTGTACAAGTTCCCAGAGCTCCCAAGCCTTGCTCTCTATCTTGAAGGAGCCAGACTGGAAGAGAGTCAGTCATGGTTTGGGATGAAAGGGACAGGGAGTGGGTAACGGTGAACATGAGTCCATTTCTCCTGGGGCCAACACTCATCTTCATGAGCATCTGCTAGGTGTAGGCTGACTTGTAGGAAGTCATGTAGAAGCATGGGCGAACCCCCTACAACATGGGCAAAGTAGTTATTTATCTCCTGCATAAGCATCTTGAGGTTCAAAGAGCTCATTCTCTCCCAAGTTAGCCCACTGCATTTTCATAAAATGTTTGAGTCGAAAACCTTCTGCTTCCAGAGTCTCCGTAGTCTGGGCCAGCTCTGGCCAAGGTTGGTCATTCATTCATTCAACATTTACTGATATGTGCTGTTGGCCATTCCCTGTGCCAGGCTTTGGGGCCATAGATAAGAATAACAGATGATCCCTTCTTGGGGAACTGTGTACTAGGCTGGTATGCCAAGGCTAGAGACATGGGGCTGCTGGATTTAAATGGTTTAACTTGAGAAAAAGATTCAAAGCTCCAATCAGCATGGGGATCATTTTATTAAATATAGTAAAATGAGTTTCTTGCTATAAGATTTCTCCAAGCCTTTAATATGCAAATGTACACTGAGAATCCTCCAACGGGTGTATAGAGAATATACTATATTTCCCAAATACAGCTTACCTGGAACACTACTCCAGGTAAGTGTTCCTGGAGTATCACACTTTATCATACTTTTAAAATATCATACTTTTTTACAGAGGATATTAGGGGAAATGCAGCTCTAATGTTATTTTTTTGGGCCAGTGGATCTTGGGGAAGGCTTACAAAGAGAAAATGTTTGAGCAGGGCTTTTAGAATTTAGTAGGAGTTGGTCAGTGAAGATGGGAAGGTTTAAAGCAGACCATTTCAGCCCTAGGCTGACTATGCTCAGGTTACTGTACACATACTGTTTCACTTAGTCCTCAAAGGTCCTGATGTGGGTGACAGAGCCAAAGAGGTCATCAAAAGCCCCTGGAGACTCCTCCGGGTCCACACCCTGCCTTCTCAAATCACCTTACCTCAGGGCCTCATTCTCCAAATCTTGAACCCTCCAGTACTGTCCTTAAACCCAAAATTGTTCTTACAGTATCTGGACTAGATCCTAGCCTTAACCCCTCACACACCTCGGCCTAACCGTTGGCACCCAAACCTACCCTCTCAGCAGTTTGCTGACTCTAACTTGGACTCTCTTAGACTTATTCCTTCAGGCACTGCTCCTTGGTCCTGATGCACACCTGACTGAGTCCTGACCCTTTGGGCTCGCATACCTGCTGCACAGCTACTTCATATAGTCCTGGCCCATCCTGGGAGGCGGTTCCACTCCCTGTCTAGCCCTGACTGTGTTCCCGTATCAATCTGGGTCTGTCCCAAACTGTCCTGAGCCATTCTTATGCGGGCCTGGTCTCCAGGTCCAGACCCTATCGACACTTGACAGAGGCCCTATCCTTGCTCAGATAGGGCCCATCCCCAACCCCGCCCCAACCTGTACTTCGCCCGGTTCTGATCTTCCCCACTCCAAAGCTGACCAGTCCCCAACCGCGGGACCTACCCCAACTTCAGGTCTACCTCAAACCCCGCCCAAAGCCCCGCCCCTCTCCGCAGCCCTGTCCCGGCCCCGCCCTGTACTAATTCTGATAGGGCCATAACCCTGCCAGCGGCCCCGCCCCGGGAAAAATTCTGACTGGGCCCCGCCCACGGTCCAGCCCTAACCCCGCCCCCGGTCCGGCCCCGCCTCCCGGCCCCGGGCCCGCCGGGCTGCTCACCTGCAACTCCTCAAAGGCATCGTCGATGCCGGTGACTTGGTGCTGCTCGTGCAGCGCGGGCTCGTCGCAGAAGAAGCAGAGCAGGGCGCGATCCGTGAGGCAGAAGAGCTTGACCTTGTCGTGCGCCTGGCAGGGTCGTGCCGCGCGGCGCGCATTGAGGATGGCGTCCAGCGGGAAGGCGCTGTAGCGCTCCACGATGTTGGCAAGCTTGAGGCTGGGCGCGAACGCGGGCTCGGCGAACGTTCGCCGACACTCGGGGCAGTCGCGGGCGCCCTGCGCCTCCTGCCGCACCCAATGCTCCGTGATGCAGCGGCGGCAGAAATAGTGCTCGCAGCCCAGGCTCACAGGGTCCTGGTAGATGCTCAGACAGATGGAGCAGAGCAGCTCGTCCTTGAGGCTGCACGCCATGGCTCCGGGGGCGGCGGAGATGGGGGCCTGAGATGCAGGGGGCCTGCCGAGAGAGCGCGGCGTTGTTGGGGGCAGCACCGAGGGATGCGTGCGAGAGCAGGCCGGGAGAGAAAGGAGTAGGCGCTCGCTACAGGAGAAGGAAGGAGAGCGGTCCGGGAGCTGGGTAACGCGAGGAAGGGGAAGGAGTAGAGACAACCAAGATGAGAGCTTAGGAAGGTGGTCTCAAGACAGTGGGTAACCTGGAGGGATGGGTGTTGGAGGGAGGGGGCCGTGGGTGTCTGAGGGAAGGGACTCCTAGCAAGAAGGTTCCAGGGGAAGGGACAGTCCGAAGGAATGGGTGCTGGAGAAGGGAATCCAGGAGGGGGACGGAGGCCTTGAGGGGGATTGAAATCCCGGGATGGGTGCCATGGGGGGAGGGGAGAAGCCGGGGATAAGGAATTCTGGGGGAGGGAGAAGCCAAGCGTAGCCTCACCGCGGCCGTGCCGGGCAGAGGAAAGGAGCGGTGCGAGCACGCTCAGCAGCCCGATCCTGGCCCCAAGACCCGGCCCGGCGTGTATCCTTACCCCCGCCGGCTCAGTGGTCACTGCTGTGGTCCCAGCGCAGCCTCTCAACCCGGAACCAGCCAAGCCGGAGCGCCAGGCAGCTGAGACTCCGTCCCCGCCCCCGCGGGCGGGACCCAAGCGACTCCGCCTTCGCGGCGGGCGGGGTAGAGAAGGGGCGGGGCCCAGCTTCTAGCTGGTGGACCCCTCCCCTCCCCCACCATTCTCCTGCTCCCGGGGGAGCGAAACCCAGCTGTTCCTTCAGCGTTGGCACTTGGAACAACAGCCAGGTCTTGCTTAGGGTCCCTAAGGCGGGAGGGGGCGGGGAACAGCTAATTTGAGAGCCTAATGTGTAAAAGAGGAGCATCTTTCTGGATCATCAATTTGAAGATTTGGGAAAAATAGTATTTTGTATTAAAACAAACAACGATATGTGTGTAATCTGCATAGAATACAACTTTTGCATAACATATAAAGGTAAAACTCGAGAAACACCCTACTTGCTTAGAGCAAGTTCGAGACCCTCACATTCCTAAGCCCCGGGGTCCGCTTTCCTTTTCTCAAGGAGTGCTGGGGGAGAAGTTGGGAAAGCCCTGGCCCTGGCGAATGTCTGACCCAAGGAATTGCCTCCATTCGGCAAACATTTCTGGAGTGCTGTACTTGTGTAAGTGTGGGGTGGGGCGGTTGTGTGGGAGGTGGAGCAGAGCAGGAGAAAAAGTAATAGGAGACCTTGTCTTGTATGCCAGATGGAGAGGGGATTCTAGGCAGAAGGGACAGCATGTGCAAAAGCATAGAGGCGTGAAAGGGGAGGGCACATTAGGGGTAAGCACAAGTAGTTCTGTACTATCGCGGGTGGGGTGGGGAAGGGGCCTGGGTGGAGTGGAGGGTGTTGAGGGTCATGGTAACAGATTTCCTGAAAGCCCGGGGCTTTCAAGCAAGAGAATGACCTGGTCCATTGCAGGTTTCAGAAAGTCAAGGAGATGCTCATTATACTATCAGAAAGGTGAAAGCAGAGACCCTTTCTGATGTGTCTGCATGTGTGCAGTGCTCCTCACACAGGAAAGGTGTGAGGCTGGACAAAAGCAGCAAAGGTATGGATTGCAGGAAGAGAGCCTGGGCACCAATTAGGTCACTGTTGTCATAGTGCCTGCAGAACACGAGACCTGAACTGGGACCACGGCAGTGGGTAAGGGGAAAAAAGTAGGGTACTGGAAGGACAGACACTATGCAGTTTGTAATAGATTGGATATGGGGGTGAGAGAGGGAGGCATTGACTGTAGCTCCCCAGCTTCTGACTTCTCCAGGAAGGTCTTCACAGGAATTCAACTTTGTGAAGTTACAATTTAACAGACAGCTCGAAGTTTACGCCGTTGCTGTTTCTGTGTCCTCCATCACACCGTCACCTGGTCCCATGCCTCGATCATTGCCAGAACCAATTCGGTTACTCATGCAGCAGTGATTCCTCATCTTTTCCTAGCAGTCAAAGTCCTGATTTTGTTCAGGTGGTTCCCTTCCACATGTGACTAAGGGAAGGCTGACCCTCGTCTATCCCAGGAGTGAGTCCCATTTGGTCCAAGTCCATTGTGGTGGTCACATGCCTCTTGCCAATGATGATTTGGGCTTGGACACATGAGGAAGGTCTAGCCTGAAAAACCAGAGGGGAAGCATATGGTGGGGAGGGTGCTTCAGGAAAAGATCACTTCAAAAAAAAAAAAAAAATCAGCCTACTCCCTTTGCTGCACGTGGATGTAGTTGGTGGTGATGCTTGGAATTGGCAGGAGCCATCTTGTTCCCAGCCTGAGGATGCAGCCAACACATGACTGAGTCCAAGAGAGTCCTGGGGCAGAGGGCCTGGCGGCTCTGACACAAAGCCTAGACTTTTGGATCTGTATTAAATCTAGGCTTGGTATCCTGGGCTTTTAGCATAAGTGACGCCATTTTGGGCCAGTGTTATTTTTGTTGTTATTTTTTGTTTTTTCTTTAATTGCTGAGATGGTCAGACGAACAGCTTGAAAGGTGAAAAGGCCAAAAGCTGGAAAGTATTGTGAGAAGTCGAATAGGCTGTGACTTTCAGCCAAAGGAAACCATATTCCATATATCTTGGGAGAGACTGGAGCTAGATATTAAGAGGAACTTAGCTATTGCTTAACAAGTTTAATAGCTGTATGCTGTCACTTAGCAACCACAAGAATCCCAGATGATATACTGATATGCACCCCCATTTTTTGTAAGGAGGAGTGCATATTATTGAATTATTTGCAATTATTGAATTATTTAAAGTGAAATTTTTAAAAAAGCTTCATTTTACTCAACATATAATCCATCCTCCTCTTCTAAAGCAACATGGTAGCTGGGAAAATGGCTGGTCAGCTAGAGACCCACTTTCCAGCTGCTCTTGCAGCTGAGTGTAGCTTACTGACTAAGTCCTTTTCAGTAGGATGTAAATAACATAGTCCTTAAGGCATTAGGCTTTTTCTCTTCCATGCCTCATTTCCTCTTCCCTTGAGTAGGAACACAGATATGCCAGGGACCGAGCTTCAATAATGCATCATTGGGGCTCACAGAGCAGAGAGATGGAAGGAACTTGGGTTTCTGAATGACTGTATGGAGCGGAGCCACCCACCAGTGCAGAATGGAGTGTGAGAAATAAACCTCCGTTTTCTATAAGCCATTATATTTGCAGTCTTTGTTGCAGCAGCTGAGCATTCCCTATGCTATTCTATATCTGTTTTTGAGAAAAGGCTCTGGTACCATTTAATGGTATTGTCTAAAACGTTTCAATAGCTAAGTTCCTCTTAATATCTAGCTCCAGTCTCTCCCAAGATATATGGAATATGGTTTCCTTTGGCTGAAAGTCACAGCCTATTCGACTTCTCACAATACTTTCCAGCTTTTGGCCTTTTCACCTTTCAAGCTGTTCTTCTGACCATCTCAGCTATTAAAGAAAAAACAAAAAATAACAACAAAAATAACACTGGCCCAAAATGGCATCACTTATGCTAAAAGCCCAGGATACCAAGCCTAGATTTAATACCTTATTTAATTCAACCTCCCCCAGAAACATAATCTTAAGCAATCGATCTGGAATTTTCTGGTCAAGCACCAGTAAGGTAGTCTGTTACATAGACCTCTTCATCCCCCATAGAAAGAAGAGGCAATCAACAACCGAAACTCTTCCCCTTTCTCCGTCAAAGAAAAGATGTCCAGGCACCCAAATAACCCTTTTTCTTTCACTAAAAAAATCCCTGTCTCCCCTCCCTTCTTCCTATGAAACCCTTCCATTTTGTACAACTCCTCGGAGCACCATTCTAGTTGCTAGATGGGATGCTGCCCGACTCATGAATCGTTTAATAAAGGCAATTAGATGTTCAAATTTACTCAGTTGAATTTTGATTTTAATACAGTTAAGAAGCATAGCACTACACTCCAACGATTGGTTATACTTAAGTTTGTCAAATCATTGCTCTTTCTGGATCTCTGTTTCCCCAGCCTGCCCTGCCCTGGTGAGGGCTCTGACTAATACTTGGAGATCCTGGCTGCAGTAAATGCATCTGCTTCCATTCGCACTCTTAAAAAAATAACCTCAGGAATTTTTTTTTTGGAAAAACAATCCAAGAGATATTTTTGAGTAAAAAAAAAAAAAAAAAAAGGAAGACCCAAACACACACACAGACACGTATTCAGACATGAACACACCCAGTCATACACATGTGCATTATATGCAGAACAAAAATCTGTAGAACTCTAGCAATTTAAAATGTGTTTATATATAGGCTAAAATTATTGGGGGGGGGGCTTCAACATTTACATTGTATATCTCTGTTATGCCACATGTAATCAGAAAAAAAAAAGACACAGTGGATTCTCATTATTCGTGGATTTCATATTTGCAAATTCCCTACTCCTAAAATTTACTTTACCCAAATCAATATTTGAGGTGCTTTCGCAGTCACCTGGGGACACGAGCGTGCACTGAGTGGTGAAAAGTTAGAGTTGCCCAACCCACATGTTCCCAGCTGAGGTCGAATAAAGCGGCCTCTGCCCTCTCGTCTCAGCTCTTGGGCTGTAAACAAGTATCCTTTTTGTAGCGTATTCAGTGTCATGTTTTTCTCATTTTTGTGCTTTTTTCGTTGGTGATGTTGCTATTTAAAATGGCCCCCAATTGCAGCGCTGAAGTGCTGACTGGTGTTTCTAACCACAAGAAGGCTCTGATGTGCCTTGAGGAGAAAATATGTGTGTTGGATAACCTTCATTCAGGCATGAATTATAGAGCTGTTGGCCATGAATTCAATGTTAATTAATCAACAGTATATATTAAATAAGCTGTTTTGAAAACAGAAACGCACAGAAAACAAGGTTGTGTATTGATTGGTTGGTGAAAACGTGGCCAGAGGCTCCTAAGAACCCTGTATTTCCTTAAAGGGCAGTGATTCAGTATTTGCTACTCCAGTCTTTGGGGCAACTTTACAGAACAGAACTGCTGTGAATAATAATGAGGGTCAACTGCATATAAAACTTGTGTCTAACAGCATCTACAGATAAAATGTACCAACACCCACGTCCCTTTCCATCCAGGTCACATCGACTCAGGTCTGCTCAAAGGGAGTGCGGCCAGAAAAAGAAGAGCGAGCCACTCCTCCGTGCCAGGCACTGTGCTAGGTGCTTTCTGTCTGTCCTTTTATTTAATCCTCACGACGGTCCTCTTGACTTTTTTTCCCTCCCTATTTGCAGATGAGGAAACTGCAACCCAGAGCAAGGACGGGACTTGCATGCCAGAGCAAGGCTTCTCCATCCCAGGCTGCTGGAGAAGGTTCCACAGTTGCGTGAGGGCCCTATCTGGGCCCTCAGCTCTGTCCCGTGGTCTTCATAAACAGTCCAGTTGGGCTCCCTCTCATTTGCAGACCTTTGCCTCTCTCCTCAAGCACCAGAGACACACCGTTCTTCCTCAGTGGGGTCCTCGCCTCCCGCTCCTGGAGAAAGCAGAGCCCCTCCAGGGGGAGTTCTCAAATTCCAGTCCCCTCCAGCCTATCAGCTTATCCATAGAAACGCCTCAAGTCCTTTGTGAAATGAGGCAGTGTAAAATAAACAAACGCATGAAGTCCATG